TGAATTTTGTTTTTAAAAAGGGGGGGGGGGTTGGAAACTACCGAAAAAGCACCGATCTAGCTAGATCTAGAAATCTAGATTCTAGATCTAGAATCTAGATTCTAGATTAGATTCCAGATTCAATCAAGTTCATTCAAGGAAATATTTTTGAAGTTTGGGATATTACCACGGACCACAGTTCAAATATACACAAACAAGAGCGTACAGCACACTTGCCCACGGTTAGATCTACAGAGTCTTAAAACACGGTAGAGGAGTCGGAACAAAAATTCGTCACAAATTGATTCTATTCAGAAATAAATAAGCTCCTGTGGCCATAATTATTCACCAGTCAGCAGCCGCCGGCAGTTGTATTGTTTACACGGCAGAACTCACAACAGGAAGTAGTTCTCTACTTTACTTCATTGGTCAGTTTACAGAGCATGGATTTCTCGAGAATTGCCAGGTTGACCGATGAAATCTACGGTAGGTACCTTATTTGGCCTATTGCTATTACTATTGGTGTCAGTGAGGGTTATTTCTACTCCCGCATACACACGTCTTACTATTATCCTTCTTTTTCTTTCTTATTTTACATTGAATTATTCATTATTAATTATTTCAGAGATGAGACATTATCGAAATCCGGACGTTTGACTAACAAAAGAATAATAATATAGGCCTAATATTATAGGCTATTCAGTTCACCCACCGCATGTGTTTCTTGAACCTTATTCCATCATCAACGCTTCTCTCTCAAAGTGTAAATTGGTGTACTTCCCCCTTCTGTGACACACACACACTCTCTCTCTCTCTCTCTCTATCACACACACACACACACACACACACACACACACACACACACACACACACACATGCACACATACATACAAATACACACACTCACAAACACACACAAATATATATACACCCATACACACATACTCACACACATACATACACACGCAAGAACGCACATATACGTACACACACATACACACACACGCACGCATACACACACGCACGTACGCACGCACAAACACCTACACATACGCCACGCGCGGACACGCACGGGGCATTTTGATCCAATTAAGTTGGTAAAAAGAATCAAGGTCAACGAGCTGACATTTCTTAATTATTTTAACCTATAAAACAAATACAAAAACTTCAAATGCACAACCTGCGCACGCAAAGTTTTGTTTTTGCCTGTTGAAAAATGTGCTCGATGGGAACGATTTTCTTGCATTTTAAAAAAATAATTATTCTTTCTTTCATTTTTTTGGCCCAGGCGACCTTGTTCAGATAGGCATTGTTCTCAAACAAAACAGGCCACATCCCGGAAGCAGGAAATGTTTGGATTAATTTTATTGAAACAAAATGGATGTCGAACATTTTCATTAGCTAAATTGATCTGGATTCTAGATCTTGGCCTGGGCTAGCCTACATTTTATTTTATGACAAAGACCTATGAGTCCACTGGCAATGATAGGCCAAAGTTTGATGTGCTTCACCCTTGACACTCCTCATCATAATTTGTAGCCTAGATCTAGATCTAGATCTACTGTACTTTCTGTAGACTTTAATAGCAGACAATTATCTGAAACAATGGACTTGTAAAAAAACAGACTTGATACACAAATGTAGGCTATTAGCCTAGGCTAGATATACATATTCTAGATCTAGATCTATGATCTGAAACCTACTGACTGAATTGTATCTGTCAGGGCTTCTTTTTGTTTGGATACTGGGCACTATCAAGTAATTAAGCTGTCTTATGTTTTGGACATTTCGACTTCCACTGAACCGAGCATCAGCTGGTTGCCTTAACCGGCTGGACATGAACATATTTTATTACTTTAATTTAATTTACTTTTTGATTTTGAAAGATCTAGAATCTAGATTTAGATCTAGATCTAACGTCTAACATAGATTCTACATGTACTCCAATTCGTAAAGGAATTTTGAAAGAAATGTCCACTGGACCTTATGCTAATTCCCCAATGGATCTGAGATTTATTTTATTCACACCCTCGGCTCAGACGCAAGCAGCAGCAGTTCAAAATTCTCCTGCAGATTCCCGAGTACCCCAGACGCCACACGTTTATCGTAAGTAGGCGAACACTAACGTTTGTGGACCTCATGAGAACACGCTATATTCTGACTTGAGATTGTGGCCTTCTTGTCAAAATAAGGACAAATTTAATACAGTACACCATTTTCTGTTTAGACTTGTAGGCCTACTTGAAAACGAGTTTGTCATGATTGCAAATTTGAAATACGGCATACGGCTTTGCTGTCTCCTTCTGAAATCCCTTTCTCTAGAATAATCCTGGATAGACTAGAAAGCAAACAAACTACATGTAGCGGTGTCCCGTGTGCTTGTGCAGTTTAGAAATAGATCAGATCAAATTTAGAGTGGGTTCTTACAAGTGTAGGCCTACAAGCATTCCCTCATCTACCCCGTGATCAGGCCAGCCCTGCTTTATTATTGTCCATCCATGTTGCTCTTTGTCGGAACTTTGTCTACCCCTGGTCTCCTGTCCCATATATATAGATTTCTATACACACTTCCTTCAAACACCTCTTTCACAATGGTAATTTAAATGGCCGAAGTACTGCATTATATTTTGTTAAGCAGAATTTTTTCTTGTGTGGAGAATCTGACACACCTCATTGTTAGTCTTGCTTTTTTTTTTGCTTTCCACCTATCATCATCACTGCCTTTCTTACCCTGCACCAGGGTACAGGCCACGGACAAAACACTTTCTACCAATCTCTATCCTGATGTTATTCCATGTCTTCCCACTTTTCTGTACATCAATTTCTGTGATTCTTCTCCAGGTTCTACGCGGTCTTCCCCTTGGTCTTTTCCCCTGTGGATTCCAATGCAACATTTTCTTTGTTATGCATCAGATGCCTGACTTCCTGAGAGTATGTGTAATCCATCGCCACCACCTTCTTCCTACTTCATCTCTGACTGGGATCTGTCTTGTTTTCCTTAACACTTCCTCGTTGGTGACCCTGTCTGTCCATCTGATCCTCAGTAACTTTCTCTGGCACTTTTCAAGAAAACCTGGATCCTCCTTATGCAAGTCTGAGATGCGTTCCGTACAGCAGGGACTGACTTCACATTTGAACTGAAAATTCTCAGCTTTGTTCGAAGTGAGACATCTCTGGTCTTCCAAATCCTATTCAAAGATATGGAAGCAGCCTTTGCTTTTCCAAAGCGGGAATTTATTTCAGTACCTGTTCCCCCCCACCTCTGTCAATTATACCCCCATTAAAACTGAAGGATTCAAAGTCTTCTAAGTGAATTTCCTTCTTCTATTGTGACCTGCTCCTTTCGTTGTCCCCACCCCCCACCCCCACCCCCCACCCCAACCCCAAACCAGGGCAGTGCTACTGACTGAAGAGTCTCTAGGCCATTCCCAAAGGGGAGATATTAACATGTTCTTATGCACAGTAGAATTGTAAATGGGCTGATTTATCAATGTCACGCTCATACTGTGCCGGAACAACATAGGGGGAACTGCTGCTTTTTCTTTCCTCATCTATACTATCGTCATTGTCTCTCTACTTCTTTTGTATGTTTGTCACTCTATTGTGAATTGCTATTTGCCGGGTGCCTTGATAGTCGCAGCAGACTTTGAGCTGTTGAGGCTAGAGAGATGAGCAGAGTAAGTCTGATTCCCCGTTTGGACTTCTCTGTTGACATCCATCCCTAGGCGTTCTTTACTTTATCCGTCCTCTTGTACCTTTAGGGCGTCGAGGGGAGAAAGAGCTTCCTGTCTCTAGCAAGTTTGATGGCCTGGCTGGGTGGGATATTGTATGTTCTCAGGGTCTCCTTCTCACCGTAATACCTATAATAGAAAACTCAATTTTCGTTGTCCACTGATGGTTTGAGTACAAAACAACAACTGGTTTCCCAGGTCCCGGTGAGTGGACGATTGGTGACCAGAGCGTGCCCCGGACCCCCGTGTCGAGGCTGGGCCTGGGGGCGGGGAGGAGTCCCGCAACACCCCTGGCGCACGGTTCGTTATTTTAAAAAAATTTTGAATAAAAATTTTAAAAAATCGATTTAAAAATAATCTAAATAAGATTTTTTGGATTTAAATCAGATTTTGTTTGATTTTTATTCGATCTACTTTTTAAAAAAATGTCGACATAGTTCGGATTTTTGTGTGGCTAAAAGTATGTTCTATTGTGCAAAATGCATTGTCTTTATTTATTTTAATTAATGATTAATTTAAGCAACTACAAAAAAAAAGCCCCCAAAAATTTTTTTCATGCTGATTGCAATTGTGACCCCCAAAAAAGGGAATTGAATACTGCATTATTGTGTTTGTTTCCAAAACCTTCAACCCCAAACAACTGAACCAGGCCACAGACTGATGACGTCACCGTGTCCGGCCGGCATGCTGGCTGCTGCCCTCTCGCCTAGTAAGTTGCTTATACTACAGTAGTCTCCGGCTAAACGCACGCCATACAAAAGCACACTCTTCCTAAATACACGCCATACAAAAGCACACTCTTCCTAAATACACGCCATACAAAAGCACACTCTTCCTAAACACACGCTGTACAAAAGCACACTCTTCCTAAATACACGCCGTACAAAAGCACACTCTTCCTAAATGCACGCCGTACAAAAGCACACTCTTCCTAAATAGTCGCCGTACAAAAGCACACTCTTCCTAAACACACGCCGTACAAAAGCACACTCTTCCTAAACACACGCCGTACAAAAGCACACTCTTCCTAAATACACGCCGTACAAAAGCTCACTCTTCCTAAACACACGCCATACAAAAGCACACTCTTCCTAAATACACGCCATACAAAAGCACACTCTTCCTAAACACACGCCGTACAAAAGCACGCTCCGCCTAAACACACGCTTTCGTCATCTGACTGATTTATTTGTTTAACTACAGGTATACAATAATTTAGACGTACAAACGCACGGTAACCCCTTCTATACGCACGGTCCGATCAGCGAAACTCGCCGACAGGTACACCGTACACGGATTGTGTTGACTACAGATACTACAAACGGGCAGGCAGGATGATGATGATGAAGATGAGGATGATGAGGATAATGATGATGATGATGATGATGATGTTGATGATGATGATGATGATGATGATGATGATGATGATGATACTAAGAGTTGATCTTGTTGTTTTCATTAGGTGAGACATACACTTAGAGTTGACCCC